CACACGCATGTAGGGGATGACCATACGCTGACTGTATGCTAAACACTTTGTGCCTCGTCATAGGGGCGCATTGCTAACGAGGCAGCAATTAGATGTATAATTTTCAGCAGTGTGTCATCTTTATTATTATTATTATTTTATTTTTACACCCTTCTTGGGTTTGGGGTTGGTTTTTTTTCCCCCCCCCAAACCCCCTCGGAAGGAAAATAAGGCCAAGCCCTCACAGTGCCGCCCGCCCTGTCCGGCCTCATCCCAGCTCCAGCAAAGGCAAAATCATCCCAGAATCATCCACGTTGGAAAAGCCCCTGAAGCTCCTCCAGCCCAACCATGACCCTCACCCTGACCGTTCCCAACTCCCCCAGATCCCTCAGCGCTGGGTCAACCCAAAAGCAGTTATGCATGAAAAAAACTAAACCTCAGCAAAAAAAAAAAGAGGGTGCTGGGGCCATCTGATGGCAGTGCTCCCCTTCCCCATCACCCCCTGTCCCATCCCCTTCCCAGCTTACGGTCGCTGCTGTGCACAATCTGGAAGTTTTTGACGGAGGCGTGGGTGACGCGGCCGTGGAAGTTGAGGACGTAGGACTGGGTCTCGTCGTTCCACACCGGCGCTTTGTTGTGCAGCTCAATCACGTTGTCCATGTTTTTGTTCTGCCATCGCATCAGGAGGCCGTCGTTATCCTGGGGAGGGCAAGAGGGGGCAGAGCAGAGTTGGGGTGACCCAACTGCTCTGTAGTATCCAGCTGGGAGATGGGATGCAGTGCAGAGAAGAAAATACAGACACCACATCTCCCACCTCCCAGGGAGGTGCCTTGAATTTCAGGGATATCTGAAAGCATTTCCCTGCCCCAAACTGGGTAAAATTCAAGGTGAGCCCCAGCAAATCCTGTCCTCAAAGAGCTTCTCCCAGTCTGGCTCCTGACTTACGTTTCGGGGCCGGATGGGCACCCTCTCGTTGTCAGCGTTCATCCCGGGGATGATGACCGTCATCTTCCGGGGGCCTTTGAACCCTAAAACGTTGGTCTCCTGCAAGAGAAATCCCAGCCCTAAAACCAGAGACCGCCGCAGGCTGCAGCCCCTCGCCGGCGGCTGAACGAGGGCTCAGGGATGGATCCAGCCCACCCCTCATCTCTGCGACCCCCCCCGGGGCCGTAGCCCAGCGAACGGGCACAGGTCAGGGCCCCCTTGCTGCCTGCCCAGGAGGTGTCCCAGGGGGGTCCCCCCGATGCTGCTTACGTAGACCACGGCCGAGAGCTCCTGCCGCACGTTGGACCAGTCGGCGTTGGCCCTGTCGGGGTTGGCCCCGTTGTCGAACACCGTGAACTTTGTACCCATCAGGTTGGATCTGCGGCCGGGGACAGGAGATGGCTGTGGCCAGCGACCCCCCGACACCCCCCTCCAGGCACAGCCCTGGCTTTATTGCAGCTGCAAAACCCACACACAGCCCCCCTGCCCCCGGCAAGGCCATCCTTCCCACTCTTCAGCCGTTTGCTCGAGTTCAGGGCACCCCTAAACGTGCTGCCGCTGCGGGGACCCCCCAGCATCGCCGCGTGGCTGCCGGCAGTGCAGCAGGCTGGGACTTGCCGGGCTCACCAGGCGCCGTTTCTAGCCGTGACCTGTCTGCCGGGAGGAACCAGACGAGCCAGTTTTCCCCTCCCGGCCCCCCAACACTCCTCAGGTCCAACTCGGCAGCGGGAAACACCGATTTTAGCCTCCTGCCTGACCCCACCATCGCCCCGGGGCAGCTAGCAACCCATGGAGTGGGAGCAGGGTGCTGCAGGAATGGGGTGCCACCAAAACGGGGTGCCACCTCTGCTCCTACCTCAGCTTCCCAATGAAGTTCTCTCCCCCCCGCGATAGGTCGGTGGGGTCGATGGAGATGAGGTAGTTGGAGGTTTTGCTCTTCTTACGCTTCCTCCCGGCGAGGAGGAACACCTGGGAGGGCGGTGGGATGGGACACTGTCGTCGCCATCGCTGCCACCGTCCCCAGCTCGCTGCCCCGCACACCCTCTGCACAAGGCTCAGCCCAACAGGTCACTGCCATGACCTGGCCCAAGCCGTGGAGTGAAGATAATCCCCAAAACACCAGCTGAGCCATGGGGCGGGAGGGCTGAGCCCAGCCCAGCATTAGCATGGCCAACGTTCACTCGTCATCCCAGGTACCATCAACATGGGGCGTTGGAGGGGCACCTCCAACATGGGGCAGGGGAGGGGAGCACCCCCCTCCAGGACCCACCAACACGGTGGAACGCAGACAGGCATCCCCCGAAAACCCTGAGGGTGCTCCCCGGAGTGGGTGCAGAGCCCCTGGGGGGGGGTCTCCACACCCCCACCTCAGCTCACCTTCTTGTCATTATCCAAGTGGAGGTAATAGGTGGGGTAAAGCCCCCGGTCCATCCCCTTCTTGTCCCGTGTCACCCGGCACTTGATGGTCACCCCCTGCGCCGCTGGCTGCAGCACGAACTCCTCCAGGTTGTCCACTTCGATAACGGGCGACGGGGCCCTCTCCTCCTTCGACTGCAACACGAGAGGAGATGGTGACCCCAAAGCCAAACCTGCCAAAATCTTCCCTCCTCTCCCAGCCAATTGCTCCCTGCTCCTGATCCTCCCCACCGGGGTGAAACTCTGCAGCTGGTGGCTTTGGGGACGGTGCTGTGATGGGTTTTCCTGAGAGACGCTCCAGCCCCCCCTACCAGCCCAGGGGGAAGAGCTGCTGCCCCCCAAGGGGATCCCCACGGCTCTGAGGGGGTTTTTGTACCTTCTTTGATTTCTTCCCTTTTCCCTTCTTGTTGGAATTTTTCTGCGGGGTCTCCGGGGTCTCCTCCTCGCTATCGGCTGCTTTGGGAGGAGCTGCAGGCAAGAACAGGCAGGGGCACAGCGGGGGGAAGAGCCTCCACTGAACCCCAAAACCGAATTTGGAATAGACTCACACCAACCCCATTGATCATAACCCCCCTGTCCATGGCCAGGCTCACCCACACCCCCACGAGCCCCCGTAGCACCCACCACCCTCCGTTGCATCGCCAGTGCTGGGCTCTCACTTTTCTTTTTGGTTCTCTTCTCCTTGGGGGGGTCCCCGCCGGTCTGGAAGAGGGACATGGGGTTTTTCTTCTTCTCTGATCTGATGGGTTTGGTGCTGGAGTCAGAATCATCCTCCTCATCGCTGCCAGTGGCGGCTGGGGGGGGGACATGGGGGACACCATCACACAGCACCAGGTGCTGTCAGCTCGGGGTGATGCCGTGGGGCAGTGGGACTGGTTGCCACCCCCCAACCCCCCCGGCTCACCCCGTACCTTTCTTCTTGCTTTTCTTCTCCTTCTTCTCCCCGTTTACCTGGAACATGGACATCGGCTCCTTCTTGGTGCTTTTGGCAGATTTGGCTTTGCTGTCAGGGTCACCCTTGTCTCCTGGTGGGACGAAGGAGCCGATGAGCAGCTGGACATGGGGACAGGGATGGGCAGGGATGGGGGACGGGGAGTTGGCAGGGTGGGGGAGATTGCAGGAGGAGGGGGTGATTGTCCCACAGCCACCTGAACCTCCCAGGACAGAGATGGGGATGGGACACGGGTGGTCCCCTCGTCCCAACAAGGACAGATGCCAGTGTCAACGGAGTCGGGCTCAAGTCACTCCCATCCCCTGGGCACTCACCCTTTGGCTTCAGCTTCTTCTCCCGGCTCTCACCCGAGGGGGGATCTTTGGGCAGCTTCTTCTTGAGCTTTTTTGGCAGGTCTTTATTCTCCACCTCCTCTTCCTCCTCCTCCTCCTCAGAGTCCTTGGCCAGCTCTGCCCCGAGGTGACACCACGCCATCAGCAACACGACGGCCTCTCGCATCGGGGACCCGCAGCCTCGTGGTTTGTGAGCGGGGAACCTCCCTCGGCAGCGCCGGCCGGCGTGGGGCACCCATCCCACCGCGGCCAGGGTGCTGGGGCTGTGGGTGCCCGGGCCAGCCGTGGTGGCCAGCGGCGCGGTGGCCGTGTCCAGCGCCGGACACAGCGTGCAAAGTCACACCGCCACCTCGCGGCTGCAGCCCCAGGCTGCGGAATGGGGGGGGACGAGCCCCATCTTTTTGCTCACCCCACTTTTTTTTTTTTCCCTCCGGAAAGATGTCCGGAGAGCTGGTGGCACCAGCCAGCCACCGACTGCCACATCCCCAGGGAGTGTGTTCCCCCCACCCGCTCCGATCCCGACTCCCCAGCCGAGGCCACACGTGCAGGGCCCCTGCCACATCCCCTTTCCTCCTTCGGGCATAGCTGGATTTTGGCCAAAAAGCCCCCCCCAGGGACATGCAGAGCCCCTGCAGACCCTGGGAGCATCCGGGGCATGGGGACATGAGGTGCCACGAGCGGGTGCTCACAGAGGGGTGGGTGCTGCCCCCCCCCCCTGCCCCCCACCTTGTTGCTTCTTGGGGCCCTTGGCCACGCGGGAGCGGAGGGGGGGGCTCTCTTTCTTCTTCCGAGGCTCCCTACTGAATTTGGAGTAAGGGTCCCTGTCTGTCTCCTCCTCCCCCTTCTCCTCCTTTTTCTTCCTCAGCTTCTTCACCCCTGTGCATGATGGAGAGCAAGATGGGGTTGAGGGGGGACACCAGCATGTCCCCTCCATTTCCATGGGGGCTGAGGGGGGGTCTGTGCTTACCCTGTGCCAGGGCACGGGGCTCCTCCGCAGCCTCCGCCTCACTCGGCTTCTTCACCCGCAGCCGCCGGGGCTTGGCCTCGGGCTCCGGCACAGGGTCCTGTCGCTTCTTCTTCAGCTTCTGCCCCCACGGAGGGTGCTGCAGAGACGGAGCCACCCTAAATCCCTTTTCCCTTTGCAAGGCAACCCCTGCTCAAACAGCAGCGGGTCCCTTTCCGAAATACAGCCGGGCTTTTCCCCGGCCCCGCGTGGGAGCAGGGACCCGCTCCAGGGACAAGGGACACACTCCATGTTCAAACTTACCATGGGGCAGCCCCCCGGGGAAGGCAGAGGAAGGAAAACAGAAAGGGCTGTTAGCAGGCAGACAGGAGAGCGTCAGCGCTGGGACAGACAGCCGCATGCCAGCCCCAGGGACGAGGGACGTGATGCTGGCGCTGCCCCGACGCCGTGGACCGTGCTGGCACGGAGGGACAAGCCACGCTGTGCCGTAGGGACCCCGGCCAGGAGCCGCCCCAGGCACAGGCTCATCTCCCGATGGGCATCCCGGGGCCCTGAGCTGGGACATGGGGGTGAGCAGGCAGCCTGGCTCCGCACCTCCATCTCCTCTCGCCCCCGCAGAAGGGTCCCGTCGAAGGCAAGGAGCCGTGGCTGTGCCGGGATGGAGGTCAACAGGAGCGGGGAAGCAGGGGGATTAGGCACAGCACACCTAATCCCAGTTAGCCAGGGCTATAAATAACCCTGATTTACCAAATACAGACCATGTGGGGCAGCAATTTGCTCTGGACAGGATATATTTGGGGAGTGGGTGTCAGCTTGGGCCCCTCAAAAAGTGATTTGAGTAAATCCAGTTGCACTAGGGCACCCACCACCCAACAAAGCACCTTCTCCCTCACAGGAGTTTTGTTCCCCCCTGGATGACCCAGTGCAGCGGGTGAAGGTGTTTTGGAAGGGGGGATCGGGCCACACCCCAGCGGGATCCCAGTGTTGTGGATTTGGGGTTGGAAACTGGGGGTCCCACAGCACAGCTGGAAACCAGCTGGTTTCTTCTGTGTCATCAGCTCACACCGAAAAGCTCCTTCGCATCATCTAATCCCTTAAGTAGGGG